ACCTGCGTTTCTTTCCTCCAGAGAGTCAGTGATTGGACGGCGTCCCGCCCCCCTCCTGCAGCCGCTGCAAGCCACGGATCCACAGCGGCGTGCTTCTGTTCGCTCAATGTTTTTATTTAATAAACATTTTGAACTTTCCTACTGGCCGTCTGACCTTGAATACTGGGTCCATCTGCTTCTTTCATGACTTGGAATGAGTATTTTTACTCTTAAAATAAGATAATTAGATAATAAGTTAAGATAAGATAGATAATATGCACTCAAAATAAGACAAAGAAATTGTGTTTTCTTATTCTAAATGTGAATTATCTTGTTCCATTGGCAAGATGTCTCTCTTCCCTTCCAATCCAAGAATAAATGCACATGTAAGAAAAAATTACATCTCTAGATTTCGATTTTTTTTCCCCAGATTATTAATCAATTGATTAAATTAAATTATTCAACAGATTAATCAATTTGCTATATAATCTTAGTTGCCGCCCTAGTTTATTTCCTATATTTTACCATAAATGAACGATTATGTGTGATAAAACATTTGAATTAACTGTCGTTGGGGAGAAAAGGTTAAATTAATTTGGGTGTTTTTGTATTGAACTGGTTCTGCTTCCTTTCGTTCTGGTGTCAGAGAGTGAAACTGGTTCTGGTTCTGCTGGCGGGTCGGGTCTCCGTGGTTCACAGTTCTGCAGCTGAGCTGCCTGAGGAACAGATCGTTGCATAAGAACCCGGCCGGCGGATCGTCAATCGTCTCTTTGTCAGAGTTTGTTGAAGCGGCGAGAAGCTTCCAAATTATTCATGAGACTAAAATCACCTGCTGTTAGTTACAGACCCCCCCGCTGACTCCTCACTCAGGAGGAAATACAGAAACATTTCATTTAGCCTAAAGAAATCATTTAGATTTACTTTGGAAACAGTCATAATATTCTAAAATAGACATTAAGCTATATTTGTGATTAAAAATGTGTTTCATGTTTTTATATATATGCATATTTACATTATAAATATATGCTGCCGTTTGGCTTCAATATGATCCTATAAATAACAGGAAACGTTTAGATTTTAGTTCAGGATATTAAACTAAATTCATTTATTTTTTCCTGTTTGAGGATTTTGCAGCTTTTTAATCCTCCAACAGTTTCTGCTCATTATTGCTGCTTTTCTTGGTGTTAAAATGCTGAGAAAAACGAAGAGCCTGAAGCTCCAGCAGACATGGAGGAGATCCCACACTCCCACTCAGACGCAGGAAGGAGGAGGAAGAGGAGCAGGAGGAGGAGGAGGATGAGGAGCAGGAGGAGGATGAGGAGCAGGAGGAGGAGCAGGAGGAGGAGGAGGAGGAGGAGGAGGACCTGTAGCAGCCAGTGGAGCTGCAACCAGTAGGCTGCTCAGACTGCAGTTCTGTACCCAGAGCTCCCAGCTGAGGCTGCAGACCGGATCAGATCCTGCTATAAGCCTCCATCTGGACCAGAACCAGAATATAGAACCAGAACCCTCAGAACCCTAACCTGCNGGTCCTGCCCGGACCTGCCATGTTCCAGGTCCAGGACTTGATCCTATCCGGTTCTGGTCCTGCCCGGACCTGCCATGTTCCAGGTCCAGGACTTGGTCCTATCCAGACCTGGTCCTGCTGGGCAGTGTTAGAATCACCGTCCTCCCAGCAGAGGCTGACGTCTGGTTTCCAGCAGGACGTCCTTCTGCGGGACAAAGCAGAGGGACGTTGGGAGCTTAGGGTCCGACCTCGGTACCGACCCGGTTCTGTTCTGTGACAGCACATGATGATCCTCCATCCATGGCTCACGTGGAGCAGCTGGAGGTTTTCCCAGCTGCTGCGTTCTTCCTCCCACTCCTCCTTCTCTCCCGGCGTCTCTCAGAGAGCTGGTTGCCATGGGAACAAGAAGAGCCTCTTCTGTCTCTGCTCACACACAGCATGAAGGTCCATACGGTGGACGAAGAGGAGGAGGAGGAGTGGAGGTAAAAGCATGCAGAGAGGTAAACGAGTGGGAGCGTTTCTCTGAAGAAAACCTTCCTCCCACACGGATCCGCTCGTCTCCTCGCTTTGTGAAACGATTTGAAACCAAAGGAAGGTGTGAAGAACATCCAGACAGATTCAAACCGTCATTATGTCACCATCTGCCACCAGGGATGGAGCTCCAGCTTCACGGGGAGGAATGAGGAGAAGATCATGGTCCAGTCAGGGACGGAAAGGTGCAAACGACCCCACATCCTGATGGCTCTGAGCTGCTGGGAAGCAGATCTGATGTTTTCAGACGTCTGACTCATTTTTCTCTCAGTGGGACAAAGGAAATAAAACCAGATCACAGTGGGATAATAAAAAATGAGGATGTTGGAGCTTGGCCTGTTTTCCAGTGTAGTCCTGTTTCTCTGACTGTGACTAACTGGATGTGCT